CAGGAGAGGAGTTTTTAAGTATTAATAACTTGGAATAAAACAGGAGTAACAACTTTCTACTTCTTAACTTTTTAAAAAATGTAGAAAGTACAGATAATTGTGTAAAAATGTAATGAGTAAAAGTAAAAAGTACACTGAAAAATAATTACTCTAGTAAATAGATAACCAAAATTTCTACTTAAGTACAGTAACAAAGTATTTGTACTTAGTTACTGTACAGCTCTGCCATTTTGGACCAATCCTGCCAACCTTTTCTGTCAAACAGAGTTTTAAAAAGTTTTGAACACTTTTTCTGTGTTTTATCGTGTCACGGTTTGTAAATAAAAAGAAAAGCCCTGCAGCTCCCAGCAACAAGGGTTTGTTCAGAATCAGGCTGGAAGCAGTTTTTAACTGCAGGCTGGTCCATCACACAACTCTGCACATTTAAACTACAACCAGATGGGTGTGTGTGTGACGGCTCTGCTGACAGGAGAACACCACACTCCAGAGCTGCACCAGTCCTACTGGGTTTTAATCAGATTATCACTGCTTTATTCACAACAAATCTAAAATATTCTGTGTCTGAAATAATCTGCAGAAATGAAGCAGAGAAGCAGGAACAGGTTTATTTTGTCTTCTGTTTTTAAGACAGAGACACTTGGAAAGAAAAAAACATGGGAGGGCCTTGATCCTTGTGAGTTTCCAGTGTGTGTGTGTGTGTGTGTGTGTGTGTGTGTGTGTGTGTGTGTGTCTGTGTGTGTGTGTGTAACAGTGGTACCAGAACATTCAGAGTTTCCAGCGGTGACTCAGACACTTGGAGCTGGACCGACTCTCCTCTCAGCCTCAGTCTGAGAGCAGGAGCTCCGGCTCTGTTAAACCCTAATCTCTAAGTTCAGCATTAAAATCCATAATATGCCCACAGATTACAGATTAAATGTGCCTCATTGTCCCGACAGCAGCAGGGTTTACAGCTGAGCAGAGCTGTAAACAAGAGGAGCTGATCTTATCGCTCCTCTGGAAGGAATTTAATGACGACTCCCTCTCCATCAGGGAACATCATAAATCTACTTTGATTAGTGGGTTTCTTCATGGTTACCAAAAAACAAAAAACAAAAATCATCATTTAGCATGCATGCACACAGACCCACACTACATTGTTCTGTTTTTAATTTTCTGTGCTGCAGGGCTGTTCTTCAGCTCCCCTGTGAGTTAAAACAGGTTTTATCTGTTCAACACCAGACCCCAGGCTCCATGAACACAACTGTGCAGGAAAATAAAGGCTCTGGTCTGATTTAATGGTCTGAACATTAATGTAAATATATTTCATTTAAAAACAAGAGGATGTTTTTCTGCTGACACACTTTCTAAATAAACCTGAACTGACATTTTTTATATTCCTGTTTTAAAGATAAGGTTTTAAAACAACACACTGTGTGTATTTTACTGAGGAACAAAGCTCTCCCTGTTAAACAAATATTTCTTTCATTTATTAAATGTGTTTTTGTTTTGGGGAGGAACTTATGAGATGTTAGAAACTGGGACTTCCCAAGTCTCTGTTGCCTTCTGGACTTATATTATTTTCTGAGGAGGTTTTGTTTTTGTTGCTCTTTATATA